CCCTTGCGCCCCCCCCCCCCCCCCTCTTCCCTGAGCTGCACAAGTTTAAGGGGAACTTCACTCTAAAAAAAAAGCACTTTGCCTCATAAGGTGTAATACTTACCCTACTCCGCCCTCCGCCTGTTCAACCGGCCCCCAAAACCTTTTCTGTAAGGCATTCAGGCTGGTGGCACATTAACGGATCAATGGACCTTGCATTGGGCTTCCCTGCACTACAATGGTTAAATGTTTGTTAGGTCTGGGGGTAGAGGAATAAGGTGTAATACTTGCCCTGTTCTCTTCTCTCCCATGCTCCGGGTTATGGGCAGGCCCTCACATACAATGCAGGACGTTTTGCCCTTGCATTGTACATAAAGGTGCCGGCAAGTAGCTGCCAGCCAGAGCACCTTAGAGAAGAGGTTTTGGGGGGGCCTGTTGAACACGTGGAGGGAGCCAACTAGAGCGAGGAGCAAGCAGACATCGCAAATCTCCCGGACGCTCCAGGAGCCTCCTGCTATTAGATAGCGGCTCCCGGCCGCCCGGGAGAGAAACACTTTCTCCTGGACAGGTTTACTCTGCTAGATCTGGTAGAGTAAACCTTTCCCTGCTCTGTTTTTTTTTTTCTGACATGGGGCCGCCAGCCGCCGTCAGTCAGAAACAAAAACCAGCATAGGAATGCATAGCTAGATTCCTATTGGCTATTTCACTTTGCAATAGCCAACAGCAAACTAGCTATTGCACCCGCTGTTAATCAGCAGAGGGGGACCTGAAGTTCTCCATCAGGTCCTCTTCTTGTGATTGACAGCAGCAGAGGGCGGGTGCAATAGCCAGCTTGCTATTGGATATTGCAAATTGAAATAGCCAATAGCAATCTAGCTATGTATTCCTATGCTGTTTTTTTTCTTCGTTTTTTTATTCTGATGGCAGCAGCTGTCAGAATACTAAAAAAAAACCCTGCAGATAGCAAAGAAGCCATTGCTTCCTGTGCTATCTGCCATCATTTCAGGGGGGTGCTCCCCCCTCCCGCGGATGGGGGGGGGGGGGGCAGAGGGCACCTCCCTGAAAGGAGAAGGGCACCTCCCTGAAATTGCTTTTTTCAGGTTGGGATCCCTGAGTAAGGTAATTATTATGTCCCATTCTTCTTGTGAAAGAATAAATTAAACTTTCTTTTTCATCGTGTTTTTGATATTCAGCCATTGTGTCTCTTCTAACAGAAATCATTGTTTTTTTTTAACCTCTGCAATTAGTTTAACGGTAAGCATGTAGCAGCCTTGCTGGCCTTTGTGAAGGATGCTTTGTAGATAAGGTCTAGGTGCATGCACTGTCAGTATTGTGTTCATTGCTGGAACATATTTAAACTATCAGTTAAACCGGGAATTATTGTAATCTGAGACGTGAATTCCTTGCATGATCATGCTAAAGAAAAGGGCATTATGTGACGCAACAAAAAACCTGTTGAAGACACTCTACCCCTAGACCTAGCATGCATTTAACCCTTCAGGGAGGGGGGGAAGCCCCAGTGCAAGCTTCGTTGATGCAACCACCAGCCAGAATGCCTTAGGGCTTGTTCACACCATGTCCAGACCAGAACAGTTTGTTCCCGGACCCAAAAAGCATCCCAGTGTATCCCTATGATATTTCTGAGCTCTGTTCACACCAGCACAGTCCGTTCTGGTCCAGACAAAAGAAATACTGCTTGTCTAATTTCTTTGGTCTGGAACGCATGTATACGCATCAAAAACGCATGCAAACACACTGGACTGCACCAGAAACCAATTTTAGGCTAAAAAAAAAGCACCAGAATGCGGCAAAAACAAACTGCATTGAGTTTACAGATCTGCTCCGGTCGGCTACCTCTTCTCCCCTTGGAACTCACCCCTCTGACGCCGCCGGGTAGAGTTGTCGACTCCCTCTTCTCCTCGGAACTCCATCTTCTCCGTAACATTTCCCCTCCGTCCCTCGCGTGACGAGCTGACCGGCAATACATTATACAGCGCTGCAGAACAGTATATGAATTGGACCCTGGACTTAGTAACACACTGGACTCTAGACTTAAGGTGCCCATACACCTTACGATTATCGGACGATTTTCGTATGCGATCGACTTTTCGTCCGATAATCGTATGTGTGAATTGCAGTGTCCAACCGACAGTACTGTACAATCGCACGACTTTTGACGGTCAAGCATGTTTGAAAACTTTGCTAGATCGTACGATTGTTGTAAGGTTGCTGGCGTTTCCGTCCGCCAAAAGTCGTACGATCTACACTGCGCCTGCGCTAACGAAAATACGGCAAATCAATTACCGCATTTGGTCCAGGTGCTTTTCAGTAATTACGGCTAAATTAATCTTGCGATCATCGGGGCAGGATGGGGCTTCCGTACGAACATCGTATGACTATTCGATCATCGGACGAAAAGTTTCGTCCGATAATCGTAAGGTGTATGGGCACCTTAAGTAACGTACTAGACTCTGGACTTAGTAATGGACTGGACTCTGGACTCAATAACTCAGTGGGCTCTGGGCTTAGTAACGCTCTGAACTGTTACACATATAAATATATGTAATAAAAAATATATTACATAAATAAATATATTACACAAATAGAGAAAATAAAGGAAAAAAACATACAACAAAAAAACAAAAATTATACTGCGAGTGAAACGCGCGTTTCACTGAACGAAAAAATGAGCATAAAAAAACCGCTCAGGTGTGAACCCAGCCTTAGTAACGCAGTGGACTCTGGACTTGGTAACACACTGGACTTTGGACTTAGTAACACACTGGACTCAGGACTTAGCATTGCACTGGACTCAGGACTTAGTAATGCACTGGACTCTGGAATAGTAATGCACTGGACTCTGGAATAGTAATGCACTGGACTCTGGAATAGTAATGCACTGGACTCTGGAATAGTAATGCACTGGACTCTGGAATAGTAATGCACTGGACTCTGGAATAGTAATGCACTGGACTCTGGAATAGTAATGCACTGGACTCTGGAATAGTAATGCACTGGACTCTGGAATAGTAATGCACTGGACTCTGGAATAGTAATGCACTGGACTCTGGAATAGTAATGCACTGGACTCTGGAATAGTAATGCACTGGACTCTGGAATAGTAATGCACTGGACTCTGGAATAGTAATGCACTGGACTCTGGAATAGTAATGCACTGGACTCTGGAATAGTAATGCACTGGACTCTGGAATAGTAATGCACTGGACTCTGGAATAGTAATGCACTGGACTCTGGAATAGTAATGCACTGGACTCTGGAATAGTAATGCACTGGACTCTGGAATAGTAATGCACTGGACTCTGGAATAGTAATGCACTGGACTCTGGAATAGTAATGCACTGGACTCTGGACTTAGTAATGCATTGGACTCTGAACTTCTTAATGGACTAGACTCAGGAATGCACTGGACTCTGGACCCACCTTAGGCACCGCAGAGCCCACCTGAGATTCTGCAGAGCCCACCTGAAACCCACACAGTCCACCTTAGAGAGTGACCCGGCCTCTCAGGTGGGCTAGTCGGGGTCCCTTTTCCTGCACATGCAGCTCCTTACCTGCTGCTGCTGGGGCCCACCCTCTGCCACCGCCCGGCCTCCTCCTCCCCTGCTGTCAGTGGGCTTACATGGGTATCGGCTGTACCCCCTGATGGTGGCCCTGAATGCAGGCCAAACATTGCTAGATGTTCATACCAACGTTCATATAAAAGGACTCATCAGAACATGAAATAATTCCATCAGAGACTGGATGAGTGTCCTAGGAAATCTTGTTTGATTTTGGAAAGAATGGAATGTCCTGAACAAAAACCCTTTATTTATTCTAGAAATATGTTCCTTCCTACTCCTTCAATCTCTTTCATCACTACAATGGCACATGATCGGCAATTTGACCCCAATAACTATTATATAATCAAACTGACACTCCGAAAACAATTTTTTTCCAGGTAAATTGTACCTATATATGGCGCTCTCCCCATCCGGAGAGAATAATCGGCGATTTGACCCCATTAACTATTAGACAATCAAACACTCTGAAAACTATTTTTTTCCAGGTAAACTGTACCCATGTATGGCGGTCTTCCCATCCGGCCAGTGTCAGGCGCGAGCTCTGGACAGCCTGTTAAAGCTGTGTGGAAAACCTCTTACTCCCTGTGCACACTTTGATGCGTTTATGCATGGCGTAAAAAATGTGCAGCGCATTTGTGGTGCCATTATTTGTCGATTCTAGTGGCGACAGTCTTTTCAGCACCCATTCACAAGGGTTATATTAGTAAGGAGTGCGGTGGAGTGTTCTCCCACGCAAGGAGGTGCGTCAAACACACAGGAAGAAAAGGGCATGCTGAAAATGCTGCATGAGCTCCTTTTTTCGTGCGTGTGCAGCCCATTGATTGAATGGGCTCACTTGCAGGAAAAAACACACGCGTTCACACTACACAAAGTGTGACCGGGGCCTTATGGTTTAATTGCCTGGAAAGTGTCAGCAGGCCAGTGACAGAATCCTCATAAGTCATAAACCCCAATATACCAGAGAGGGGCCCACCCAGAGTACCGGATACACCCACCTCGAGTCAGCTGTGTATTCGGGCTCACAGACCGGAGCTGTACCGGGAATTTACCTCAGTCTGAGTGTAAGCTCTTTGGGCAAAGTTTTCTTTACCTACTGTTTCTGTATGTCAATGATGCTTGTTAGTGTCTCTTACTCATCTAAATGATTGTACAGCGCTGCGGAATATGTTGGCGCTATAAACATAACTGTAATTAATTGTATAAAGGCGAATAGTTCTGACCGTCACCCCATTTACTAACTACACCCAGGAGGTGTGTTTGGTGGTGTCAGGTTTGCAATGCACGTGAAATAATGTTCTTCCACGTAGAATTGCAGACTCTGCAGGTTCCATCTCCTCTGTATTCCTGCCACAGGATATCCGCGAACTGTCTGTATCCGGAACAAAGACACCCGAGCACCGGACAGAGTGCACACCGAATACCGAGCATAGTACCCTGAGCACACCGAGCACCGGACAGTGTGCGTACCGAGTATTGTACACTGTGCACACCGAGCAGACATGGCAGACAGTACTCCGCCGCCCACCGTTACAGTCCCCGTCACTGGAAATGACAGGTCGGTAAATCCACATAGCTGAGTCGCATGTTCATGAATGGTGGGAGCTGAGCGAGCATTGTATGGGGAGGATAAAGACTGAAGTGCTGCTACAATGTATCCCTGCTGTCAGTTGTGGAACTAGGAGTCCCAGCAAGCTGTCTGGTTTTGCATGCAGGGACTTGTAGTTCCTCAGAGTCTGTACTAACCACATCTTATTTCCAGTTCACTCTTCTGGCAGGAGAGGGAACACTGGGTTACTGAGAGTGCCTGTCACGTGACTGGTATGAATGATCCTGTGTGTGGGGCGGATATTGCACAAGATTTGGTTTGTTTCAGCTTTGCAGGTTATGATCAATCTGTGCAGACTGAGGGGCCCTAAGTAACTGTATTTTCATGAAAGTGGAAAATCCCCTTAGAATTAGGGCCCATATACACCTAAGCGTGGCGTTAATAACGCAATTAGCATACACTCACACGTGTTGTGTAAGAGTGTATGTTAATTGTGTATGTTAAGACCTAGCCTATAAGGCCACACACCTTACAACCATTGCACGATGGTTGTAAGGTAATTAAAATCTCGTACGATCTGCCCATCTTGGACAGGCAGATCGAACTTGCGCTCATCGCAAGCCCGCCCCGCTGAGGGGAGGGCTTCCGATGATTCCAATGCTGAGCGGGCAGTGTGCGCTTGTGCACAAAGGCCTGTTCGGCATTTGTCTCCTGAGCACGCCACTAACCCGCCGAAAATCTTGCGATTTTCAGCAGGTTTTCAAGCATGCTCGGAAGACAAAAGATGTGCAACTGTACAGTAGAAACAGTCGCACACCTTCCATTCACCTGCCGATTATCGTACGATCGCGGGATTACCCGTGATTATCGTACGATAATTGGCAGGTGTATGGGCACCTTAACCACTTGAAGTCCGCGGTTTTAAACCCCCTTCCCATCCAGGCCATTTTTCAGTATTCAGCGCTGCAGTACTTTGACATTTATTCCGTCATGTAACGCTGTACTGAAATTAATTTTATACCATTTTTTGGGGACAGATAGAGCTTTCTTTTGGTGGTATTTAGTCACCACTGGGGGTTTATTTTTTACTATATTAAGAAAAAATTACAGATTTAAAAAAAGAAAAAGCTTTCCCCTATATTAAATTCTAAAACATTTATTATTACACAATTTTTTGGTGAAATATAAAAGACGGGGTCACGTCGGGTAAAAAGACGCCAAACATGTCAAGCCTTAAAATTGCGCATGCGCTTGAAACCTCAAAAAACTACTTTACCCAAAATTGGCCATAGGTGACGCTTTAAAAGCTTTTACCGCTCATCAGTTTAGTGTTATCAGTGATTGATTGCCCTAAAATGCTTGCTCTCATTGCGACATTCGCGGCGATATGTAACGTGTGTAGCGCAATTGTTGTTTTCGCGCGCTGGTGCATCTGACCCATATTTATTCGGCAGGCTATAGAGCCGCTGATCAGTTGTATGTGAAACAGTCGGTAACGGCTGTAAAGAATGGGTGATTTTTTTTTTCTGCCCGTGCGCGCACGCTAGGGGTCGATCGCGAGCAGGAAAAAAATGCCGTCTGCAGACGGCAACCCGCAAATGCGAGTTTTTTCACAACGGGCGTACGGCAAGCGGTTAAGTGACAATTCACACTGCTGGTCTGC